GCTCCGGCGCTTGCAGGTACGGCCTACGCCCGCGAAATCGCAATCTACCTGTAAGATGACCGACGCCGGGGAGCAACCGGCTGACATGCACGCCGACCACCAGGGGAACTTCCCCCAGATGAAACGTGCGGGAGAGCTCACGGCAGCGACGCTCCCGCTTAGCAGCCAAAGCCAAGAGGCTTTTCCTCTCTTTGGATTCTTTGGGCGTAACAAGGACGCTCTGGAAATTGAGTACAGTGTTGCCGCCGCTAGGATCTCTATGGCCGGGGGATCTCACAAGATAGCTGGCCCGGGATGGGTGGACATCCAGACCATTGCCGAAGCGGTCTGCAAGAGCACAGAGGAGGTGTCCAAAGCCTGGGCTCCGCTGAGGACGGGAACCAACTAAGACCACGAAGATGCGAATGGCCAGCTTCACTATGACCCCAGCCGTTCTACACGGGAGGGGATTCACCTAGCTACGCAGCTTTGGGGCCTGACCTTGAACGTATGGGGCTTATCGGAGACGCGGTGCTGGAAGCTCTCGAAAGTTTCCGAGAAGCACGGACTTTGAACGCTTTGAGTTCGTGATGTTACAAGAAGTCATCACGGAGGCAGGGAGCAACCATGTGGAGTTTCAGCATTGGCAGCTGTTTGGTAAGCTTGATGGCGAGTTCATGGGGGAAGCAGTGGCACACAAAAGCAACCACAAGCATCAGCAGACACAAGTACTACCCGGAGCTGTGACTACTACTCTGGTGATTCGCAACAGTAAATTTAGAGTCCTAGCAGGCCACCCATGCAACTACACCACATCTTGCAAACATGGAACACGGGCCTCACTACGGACAAGCTCGTGCTTGGCATAGATGCAAAAGAAACTTTGCGACTACCTGTGATCGCTACGGGGGATCGCCCGCACCACATGGGAGGGAGACGTCTAGTCTATGGCCGGAACCCCAGATCGCGATGCTCCTCCAGGTCATCCCACCCCCGAAGACCCACACCTGACCATCTCCAGCCTCGCCCAGGCCATCGCAGCGTCCGCGGGGAACACAGACGCATTCCGCGAGAGCAAGCAACTCAGCAGACAACGGCGGCAGGCGCACCTAGCCAGCCCCGGGGCCGCAGCAAAACAAGCCTGGAAAGAGGTCAGTCGCTAACGCAAACAGCAACGAACATGGAAGCAGTGCTTGCGGAAAGGGCAGCCACATTGGACATCATTGGACTGGAAGGCACTCCGCGCACTGCAGCAGACCAAAACACGCCGGGGGTGGCAACTGCCGTTGACAGACGACCCCACTTGGCAACAGGACCTGGGCAAGCACATGCGGGGGATTGTTGCCAAGCCGAAACCAGAAGGTGCGAATCTTCGCGTCGAAAGCCTGCGGCGCACTCCGTCAGCACTGCAAACATTGTGCATGGCTTTCACCATGGGGGAGCTGCTCCACACATCCCAACGATGGGCACACAAGAAGAGCACGGGGCCTGACGGCATATTCCACGAAGCTGCGAGAGTCCTGTTAGCAGACGCTGCCTGTCGGGACGCATCCAAACACTACTGAGCGACATGATCTACACAGGCAAGGTGTCCGGGGGATCGAGCAAGGCTTCACTGTCCTACTCCCGAAGATCACCGCTCCGTTGGAGTGGGGAGACACCCGCCCAATCACGTTAAGCCCAATTGCTGTTATTGCGAGCGGGGCAGCAGGTGAGGCACGGAGGGGAGGGCTGCAGTGGGCTTGCCGGGACGCCAAGGCGTTGAGCTCACCACGCTCAAATACGCTTAGACAGGCAGTGCAGATGTCGCGAGATTGGCGTGTGGCCACCTGGATTGTCAAACTGGACAGCCGGACAGCCTCCGACAGCGTGTGGCAGGTCGCGCGCGCACCTCGATTTCCCACGCCGCCAACCAGCCCCCCAGGGCGGCCCGCCACCCCCGCGATGCGGGGATGCTTCGCTCCTCGTCTACAACCTGCAAAGGATGGGTTACACAAGACGGCCAAACTCCACAGCCAGGAAACCCTCTATACAGGGGAGCTTCACCATCAAGGGGGGGGGCAGGTGGCGTGCCAGCCACATGGGACCACGACTGCTCCCTGCGGGTCTCCCATTACCTTTTGGGGACCAGACAGCGGCTATCAGGGAAATGTCGCGCCGTGCCCGGAGTGGCATTCGCCAAACACAAATGTGTCCTCAAAGACGCGCCAGCCTGCACCCCCACCTGTGATTGCGTACGTCACCCTCGTGCGCCGATGCGCTGGTCCAGCTACATCCTGGGGCGCATCTGGCCACCTGGCCACAGCCACCGCTCCAGCCCGTGAGACCCGGCACCAACTACAAGACACAGTGCTACCGCCCCATCAAGAGCGCTGGACGAATGACGTTACAGCAAGATAGCACCTACAGTCCGTGCTCTGGGCTTCCTTGCTAGCCAGCCCTCCGTCCTGATGACTGCTCCTCAACACTGCTAGCACTCCGCAACATCGGCCCCCGGTCGGCCCCCTACACTATAGTGAGACCGACCCGTGGCATCAGCCGGACGAGGGAGGGGCCATGTCGGAGCCATGCAACCGCCGCTCAGATCTATGATAGAGAAGGGAATCTGATCGTGCCGTGCCGAGTCCTTCAGTCTCAGCTTCGACTGGCTGGATGGGCCCTGACTGAGCCTTCACGTACCTACAACCGCAAAGGGGCCAGTGTCTGAGATGAAGGAGCAACGGCACCCCAGCCCCAGCAACGACCTCCTGTGCCAAGCACCCGGGTTGTTCCCAAGGTGAGGTGAGGGGCGGTTTGGTCGCCTCAGGATGTGTCTGGCAGTCGGCTCGGCTATACAAGGGCTGGTTGAGATCTGTGTTACCGTCGGCATGATTCATTGTTATGCCCCGTCATCTACCGGCTCTCTGTTTCTCTTCTCGCCTATGACCGAAAACCATTGGCTGTTCGTCGTGGAAACTGCTCCGCAGCCTGAAGCCTATGAGGCTCAATCTATGCTCCTATCCACAGGTGACATACTGCTCTTTGAGTCCATCGATGGACAGTGGAACATCCGCATTGAGTACCTACACCCGGCATGCCTCCCAGCCAGGCAGCGACTAAGACAGAAGAGGCGTGAAAGACCCTGGTCGGAAAGCAAACTGGCGGACCATCGCCGAGGCATCGGAAGAAATACCAGACGCCGAAGATGCAGCGAAAGCAAGCTCCTCCAACGAGCCCGTCGCAGCTACTACCCGCCACCACAAACTAAGCCTACATCAGACTCCGACCCAAACTACACAACCCAATCCACTCCTTGCTGGAGAGCTGCGAAGAAGCCAGCCCGATCGCACCTCACAACAACAGCAACAACCACTACCGCCACGGCAACAACCTATCACTCCACCTGAGCCCAACTGCGAGACGGGCGTCGCTTTGGGGATCAACATGGCAACGCTCCCCAGAACTCCCCCACTCCCTTGCCTGCATTGATGCCACAACAGGATGAGGGGGACACCTCAGTCTTGATGCAGGTCGACCAAACAGCAGCTCCCAACAAACATCCACTGGAACGAGTGGAGACCGAGGTACCAGCATCACCTACGATCCTAAAAACAGCCTCACAACCGACACCAACACACAAGCTTCCCGTTGCAACACACCGGCAGACCGACATGGCCACACAGCACCTGATGGAAATCAGCCTCTGGTCAGGGGGGACAGCCTCCAACTGACCTCACTGCGATCGCACAAGCAACTTTGGCAGCAGCGAGACAGCTACGGGTGATAGCACAGCGACAGCTGCTCCCCAACAGTGGACAGGTCTTACATTCAGTAGTAGCTCCACACGTAGCGGTTGTGTACTGCAATGGGTGGAAGCCGTGGAAGCGCTGCACTGCATAGCAGCGGGATCACAAACATGGCCCGTGGCAATGCTGCAACTGGTCCGTGCCGCCTCCAGTCGTCTACCCGAAGAACAGCGAGAACAGCCTGGACCGTGGTGGACATGTGACCGACACCATGGCATGACGGACATGGCACGCAACCACGAAATTCTTCATGATCCCAAGCCTTCGAAGACAAGCTGTGCGCCGCCCTCGAGACAACAGTGTGGGGGCGACATGCCCTGGTAGCTGCAGCCGTACCAGATTCCGGACAGAGTTGTCATGTGAGAGGGGACCGTCATGAGTAGGGGGATTGTGCGGCTGAGTATAGCTGCAAGACCTGTCTTTTTTTGCTCGAGTGCTGTTTGGCATGGTTCGAGAGCTCTGAGCTCAACTGTACCAAGCTGCGAAAACTTGATGGATGGTCTCCGGCAGGCACGTTTTCTCCCACAGGGCGCCATGGATAATAGTTGACTTGTTTGGTTGTACTTTCTCACGTTGCCCAAGGGGATGAATCCTATTCACGCAGGCTTGCCTCGAACCGCCTCCAAACCAATCCCTGCTAGACGAGGATACCTTGCATTGATGCCCTGGACTTCTTACTTCCTGGTGTTTTCTATCTGTTGTTTTTCTCTGATTCTTGCAGATGGCATGGTACTTCGCAAAGATCCAAGCCCTAGACGCTGTCTGACAGTGACGTAGGCCTCTTCTGTAGTATCCACAACAATGTGCACCCAGGAAGACCGTGCTACTAGTGAGTTGTGTGTTTGTCGTTAGGGAGGTCGTTGTTTGGTGTCTTGGAAACTCGGAAGCATGGTGCCCAGGGGAATTTTGAAGCACCACGAAGTCGAATTGCATTTGTAAATGTGACCTCTTCATGTACATGGCCCCCCCCCATGGAGTGCCAGGTTTTCTGGCTTTTGAATGACAAGTCGGATATGCACTCACAATCATTTCTCGAACCGGGGAGACACCCAAAGCTTTGGTTTGTTGGTGTCGACACCTGGACAATCCTCCCAATGCCCCGTAACACATGGGGGGGCCTTTGGTGCCCGGGGGATTTGACAGATCCCCTATGCCCCATGGAAGAAGAAGTGAGAGACAGGGAGAGGGACTAAGATGAGGGTTTTTGAAGCGAGGGTGAAACCGTTTGTGGCTCAGGTCGTGGCTTCCTACGAGAGACCTCAGCTGTTGGCTTCCTCACTGCCAGACAGGCATCTTGGCCGCGAGTGTCCTTCCAGTGCAGTGAGCTTTCATGCAACAAGGCTGCTATCAGTGGAGCTTCAGACCGGCATCAGCCTCTTCGCTGGGCTCAGTCCGGGAGGCTTTGCGTCACATTTGCAACCACTTTCACGGTCCGTCACTATGAGTCAGCGTGTCGCCGGTAATTGGTGCTCATATCGGGAGATGTTGTCCTGGCCAGGAACTGGCTTTGGGGGCAAACCCCAATCTGCAGCGAGACTCCGTGCCCGCATCAGGCGGGGACAGGGAAGACTCGATTTTCTAGCTGCCTAGTAAGCAAAAGTATGTGTCGAACCGTTTTGTAAGCTTGAAGGACACGTCCTGTTAACGTTTGCGAGGCAAGGTACCGGGTTTGCTTTGCACGGGAGCGACTGAAGCTTGGAAGAAGGTACTTGGCACTCTTCTGAATGATGGGTCGTGGATGAACGAGGCGATTTTGACCGCTGTGGGAGCACAAAGTAGCTCTGCATTGCTGGTGTGGAGGTTGACTGGCGCTTAGCCCCAGCTGAGCTGCCGCAGGCTATTTATGCGAAGCTTCTGAGTCTAGCACTAGCTGTCACGAGCTCAAATTGACTGCTCCATGGAATGCATTGCCTCAGCACACGTTACGGCTTCGTTCTACTTATGCAAGTGTTTGCGTGCCTGTGTGCTTTTGTTGTGCAACAGATGGAATGGCCACATGTGGCCCGTCCCCCTTGTGCGAGAGGGAAGCCGAACGAAACGTTGCTGCCTACCTGCTTGCCCCTCCACGAGCTTCAAGACCCCCGCAGGGACGGACATGAAGGGGAGGAGGCACAGATGCCCTGGCAGCCAATCAGCGACTCGGACCCTTGTGCCGCTGGACAGTCGATGTTTCAAGGTGGAACGGCGCGCACAGCAGCGAGACGGCTAGTTACACAAGACATGCCACTTAGATGGATGTAGACCAGGTGCAGTTTGTAAACCAAGGATTTGGCAGTGTACTGCGAGCCTCTTTACGGCTAAGATGTCATCGGGAGCTTTGATGTTTTGAGGTGCATGATTTTTGCGAGCGCTTTGGGCCATTGTAGGGGGACCATATCCCTTGCACCAGACTGGAATTCGCACGGAAGCTCTGTAAACTGTAAAGGTAGCTGAAGCTGAAACCGAGAAAGCTCGAGTCGCAGCCGGACGGCGTAGCTTCTGCGATGTGAGACGTGTCATCAGAGCCCTGCGTGCTTCCATGCCTTCACAATCGGATTCTTTTGCAGTGCTTGCGGAACAAACATCAACATCCCAGCAAACGCCTTTGCACGCCAGCCCGGGCACTGAGAGTGCTCGAGTCGGTGCACGAGGTCCCAGATGTGCTTGGGCATCGCTGGTTTGGAACACGGTACGAAAGTGAGGGCCGGGGTTTGTGGGTTGCTTTAGAGCAACCGGAGGTATGTCTCTTAAGGCAAGTGGAAAGGTCGCGGTACTAGCACTTTAGTGTCGGAGGTATTTCGTGAGTTGCATTCTGCTCGGATAGAGCTCCGCAGACTGGCCTGTCACGGAACATGTTTGCAACGGTCGGCAGCTGCCGACCAGCACATCTGCGGAAACAAAAGAGGGTAATCGACGCTCGATACATCTGACACGCGTCTCTCACCAATCTGACACAACCTCTGTGAGGTGTAGAGCTTCTGCAACATCGCAAGACGTTTCTACCGGAGCATGCGCTTGCTGTTGCTGTCCTTCCCCTCTGCTGTGTTACACTGACAAAGTGACTGGCGCTGTTCCCCAATTCCTACATCGTCCTACATGTGGCTTTGGTGCAGTTTCCAGACGACTGCAAGCAGCTTTGGCCGGCGGCTGTATGTACCGAGGCTGTGCTGCATGCTGCACTTCGATCTTCCTAGGTCCTAAGTTTTCTTTCGCGCTGAAGCGAGAGGCGCCGCCACAGTTGAAAGATGCCGCGGGAACAGTTCTTCGATTGGCCGCCAGTGCAACTTGGCAATTTGGGCCCCGCCCTGGCCCTGCCCCAAATTCCGATACCTTCCAGAGAAGTTCCGTCTGGAAGGCCTGAATGCCTGAATACATTAAATAACCAAGCGCTTCCACATGCCCAAGAAGGCCCTGCAGATGCCTTGAAGGCCGAAACCTCCATCAATCGATTCCGACATGCAGCATCATATCACTAGTCGAGAGCTCATGACCGCAAGGCACACGACGAATTTCGAGCTCTAGCAGCAATTCTTTGCGGTCTCAGCTCCCGTCGAGGCACCGGATGGCAGAACTGTGTGCTCTGCTTTCAGCGTGTCCCGAAAGGTGGAAGTGGTGATGCGGCTCGAGCCGCTCGCTCTTCGGGAATGGTGATCCTTATTGGGATCCGAAAGTGTTGAGACTGAGGCTCGGGTGGCAGCCCAAATTGAAGATACCCTGCACCGCTTGTGGCCCGGACCTTAGTATTGCGGCAACTAGAATACAATCTCAACACTCCGTGATGTCCATCTTTCTCCATTCATAGTTGTGGTTCTTGCCCATTGCTCTCGAGGAGTACTCCCTCTCGCAGCCCCATGGTGGCCACTGCAAGCTCCTGCCTGGTGGCTTGTTCCGCCCAACAAGGACAAGTAGAGTGATCGAGGCTTGTGCAGCCAGATACGAACAACTCCCACTGCTCTCAAGACGCTGTGAGAGGAACTGCCAAGGCAGAATCTTTGGCAGGGACCTCAATTGCCTGCATTGCAAAAGTTGTGCGTCGCCGTCTTGCTTGCGCATGCTTGTCTTGCTCGTCAGGCTCTTGCGGGCAGCGGGCTCGTCAAGCACAGCATCTTGCCATTAGGCATTCTGATTCTCGCGGCGGTGCGAAGTACCCTGGCGGTGCGCGTGGCCTGTGCAGCTGCTGAGGGTGTTCAAGTCCAGTGAGGAAAGAAAGGTGCTGAAGAACAGAGAGGGAGGGAGACCCGTGCCTTCTGAGGAGTTGTGTTTCTCACGCCACTTGAAACGGCCGCCAACGAGCCTTCGGCTCGGGCTTCGGACGCCCAGTATGCCTTGGAGAAAAAGCCAGAAAGAGAGAGAGAGAGAGTGTAGCCATGGAGAGTTACCCGTTGCTGCCGACGCCCCCAAAGCCCCACGCAACATGGGGGGCCCTAAGGGCCGGGGGGACTAACATGCCCCTCTAACCCGAAGGAAGAAGAGCGTAGCCATTTTGGCTCAAGTACTACACCTGTGCTTGGGGGCCTGTTCCGCCCTCTTGGGCGGGGGAAGGCAGAGAGTTGACCGGGAGCTGTCTACTCCGGGGGAGCTCTTCTGCTTTGCCCTAGTGGTGCTTGAGTTTCATATCCGCTGCCGTGTTGCATAAGCAACCCCAGTCCCTTCCGAGCTTCTCCTGATCCTGCACGAGGCCCCTCTCCGGAGGGCGGCCCTCTAGTAGGGGGATGGAGCATGCAACCTGATTGCGGAACCCAAAGTGATCTTCCACGACTACCTGGGGGAGACTGACGGCGAGTTCGAGCATGCTCGGACGAGGCCGTGGGGGGGGCAACCAAGGGCTCCCAGCGCAAAACCTCCTATGGTGAAAACGACCTGGGAGGAGCAGACCAAATTTGCAGACCGCTTCCGTGGGGTGTGGTTGAGTTGCAACGCCTGTTTGCAAAGACCCCGGTACCATAAACCGCACGATGGGGGGAAGACCTGCTACAAAGCTATGATAGCAGCCGGCAAAGCCAGCAGCCCGGCCAGTGTCAATAGCATGCGAAAAGAGGGGGAGGCCACAGCTACCCGCGCTACGTCGTCCGAGCAGTTGGCGGAGACAGGACAAACGGCGAACAAAAGCCGACCGCTCGCCGACTATGTGAGCTTTGAGACAAAGGAGGGGGTGGCGCTTTTGTACGAACCGCATCCACTGGACAAGTGGATGGACAAAGACTACAGGTGGGACAGCAAAAAGCAGCTATACATGGACCCCGTGACGGGGGGACACTTACAGATGAGGAAAGCGAGGACTACCAGAGGTATTTGCAGCGACATAAAGAACGCCGACATACCGGGGGACAAGCTGATGAGCTCATCAAGCTTGCAGCCAAGATTAACCCGCGTACTTTGGCGGAGTTGCGGTTCTATATTGCCAAGTTCCCTTGGGAGGTCTGCAGACTCCTCGCAGAAGGCAAGAAGGTATACAAGACGATGGGGGAGCAGCGCGAGCCGCACAAGAACCCGAAGCCTGTCAGGACAAGAAGCACAAGAAGCACAAGAAGAAGACCAAGGAGGGGAAGACAGCAAAGGAAAAGGAAAACAAGAAGCAGACCAAGACCGAGAAAGACGACACCTCGGAGGGGAAAGCCACAGCCCAAGCCGACCTACCACAAGTGGAAAAGTCAGCGGGGGACCCAGACCAGGGGGGGGAAAGGAACCTACAGACCTACAGCGTGCCGTGCAGCAGGTACAGCAACACATGAGGAACGCTCGCAGGAAGTGAAGGACGACAGTGAGAGGCATTCGGAAAATTCGGGGGAAGCGACCTGTGGTTAAGTTTTCGGTTGCATTCATGTCGTGCCGTTTGCTTGTGATACGTCGTTGATACCCAGTGACCTTGCCTATCTGTAGCCGGGGGAGCCGCCCAGTACTCGTTCTGCACGGTGTGTGCTCGCTTGTTGTTCAAACCGGGGGACCCCAGACATGCACCCTGTATCATACTTTCAGTGTAGCAGTTTCGAGTATTCTCATTCCACTGGGCCCGCATTGATTGGCCCGCAATCCCTGCCTGAGGCGAACAATGAATTTGGGGGACATGAAGGTGCTAATTCGAACCCATGCCAACAGTGTAAATCCGTGGGGGAACTCCAGCATGCTTTTCCTTCAACCCTTGCGAGCCCACCTGAAGTGGGGGGGGGGACGCTCCAGCTTATATTGGTTTTGGCCGGAGCCTCACTTACTTGTTGTTTGTTTTCTGCGTCCCCCTGCCTACGAAACTCTTTGGTGGAAACTTTTTCTTGCCTTTGAAAAGCCGAGCCCTGTATGGAAACATACCGTAGGGGCCACGTGTACCCACGAACCGGGGTGTGGGGCTGGACCGCCCTGCACCTCTTGCCTGGTAGAGAGAGAGAGAGAGAGAGAGAGAGAGAGAGAGAGAGAGAGAGAGGGAGAAAGTGTTGTGGGCACCCACTACTAAACCCTAAACCCTAAACCCTGAACCCTAAACCCTAACAACAAACAACAAACAACAAACAACAACAACCACCACCAACAGACCTCCCAAAGAGGGGTCGTTCCAGATTTCATCCAAAATTGAATTTGTTATATAAACTTTAGTACGTAGCCATTTTGGCTCAAGCCGTGAGCGGTTCGAGCCCCCAGCCCTGCATTGAGAGTTAACTAGAGCCGTCGGGGGAGCAACCCGGGGAACTTGCGACGAAAAGCCTGAGAGCGAGAGACGTGCCATTACCTGTTCGAGGGCATCCACGTGTGTACTACTTGTCTTCCTCGCGGGGGTCCGGGAGTCGGACATCGTCACGAAGGGAGCCCAAGGCAATCCGTGCGCTGTTCCAGGGGGACATTGTCAAACCTCGACATCTTCGCAATCGGCGACCCAACAGGTGCCCGAGCAGGTGGGAGGGATTCGGACCTTTGAGAGGGGGAGATAAGCATTGAGTTCGTTGTGCAACGTGCTACTTCAGCCGGTACATCAAGAATGCATTCCTCGTCCAGCATGGAAGGCAACCCCTTCCGGGGGGACGAACGCCCAAGGACCGCGGGCAAGCCCGAAGCGTGCCCGCGAAGTTCGGGAAGAGGAGGGGGACGAGACGCGAGACACATCACCCCCCCTGACCCTGGCTGCACTACAGCAGGCCTTGCAGCTCAACCAGCAACAGATTACCGACACAATCCAGGAGAGCATTGCTGGAATCGGCCAACGTGTCGCCCAAGTCGAGGTCAACATGGATGAGCACGTTAAGCGCACCACCGGGCTCCTGGGGGCAATGACAGACAGGCATGTCCATATCGAGCAATCAGTGAACAAGGTGGTGACGGGGCACGAAGACCTTGCCAGACGATTGGAGTTGCTGGAAGGGAAGTTCGCTACGGCCAGTTTCTCTACAGCGAGCACCCGCACCGATCCCGGGGGACATGATGCCGCCCCTCGGCCTGCCATTGTGGCGGGTGGATGGGACAACGACCAAAGCGCTGAGGAGACCCTTGAACTTGTCAAGAAACACTTGACAGAATTGCAGTGTGATCTGGACCTGGGGGACGCCTTTGTCCCTGGACTCCGCAGAGGTTTCGCCATAGTCCCGATTGGACCCCGCAGGGATGAAGCCATTTTTGATTACAGACGGCGGATCAGAGAAGTCCTTCAGCGAGTCCGAGAGGCGAAGATCGTCACAGGGGCCAGGCCCCAAGGCGGGGAACGTCACCTTTGGGCAGCCATGAGCGAGAGTCCGGAAAGACGACGACGAGCCCAGTTTGCGGGCAAGGTCAAACGACTGATCTTGGAGGAATCAGGCGATCGCAGCAAATTGGAGGTCGAGTTCGGGACGGGGAACGTCTGGTACAGCAAAGTTCGCATCGCAAGCGCCGTCCTGATGGCACCAGATGAAGCGGACAAGGCAGGGGTAGGATGGTTGTCGTTACCTACGTTGGCACGGCAGCTGGGCACATCCTTGAGTTCTCTCACTGAAAGGTGGGGGGAGTTGAGGAAGGCATTGACCTGACCGCGCTCGGACGACGAGTCTCACCCCGTGGCCCAGGACACCGACCGCGGGGACATGCATGTTTTTACCTGGAACGTTGGAGGCCTCACACCAGATGATGCCCTCCGGCTACTGGGGGACTTTCGAAAAGAACGAATTCATCCTTTCGACGAGCCCTGCGTCGCACTCCTCCAAGAGGTGATTGTCGATGATGGCAAGACTGAATATGAGAAGGGGGACTTGCAGATGATCGCGGGGAAGCAGGCGACAGAGTGGAGAGGGACAGCTATAGTGCACAGTGCCGAATACCGACACAGTCGCAACAAGCTGCTCAAGACGGGGATCTGCACTACTCTCCGACAAGGGAACCTGCGGTTTCTAGCACTCAGTGGGCATCTCCCGCACCACGCCACGCTTCCGGAAGCAGCGGACATTCTCAATACATGGGAGCAGCAATACCTTTGGGAGCCCAAGGGGGTCCTTGGTATGGATGCCAACGAGACCTTCCGAGCCAGGACGGGGACCGCGGTCTCCTCCGAGACGGCAAGAGGGGAACTGTTGCTGGATCACTTGACTGCCGGCGACTTCAAGTTCCCCCTGCAAGAGCTCTCCAAGCCGACCTACTTCCCGTACAACACCGCCATGCTCCCCCGACGGCTTGATTACATATGTACTCGCCACATGTTGTCGGACGAGGGGATGGTCCACGACAAACGTGACCTGGCCCGCAGCGATCATGAGCCCGTATCCGTGAAGTTAGCCCAACCAGTTCCCCAGCCACAGCTGAAAGCCGCGAAGACGTGGGGGACCAGGAAGCTTCGCACCAGTGATAAGATCGAGCACGCCCTTCAGAACTTTGCAATGACCTCCACGGACCCCATCAAACTGATCGCCGACATCTCCGTGGCGATCACCACGCCTGGGCGGCACCTCGAGGTCTTCCGCGAGAGCATTGAAACTCGACGTCTCCGGAGGCACATACTGCAGATGCCGGCGGGGGGGACGATCGTAAACAGCAATGGA